ACTGCTGTGCCTCCGCGCCGCCGTCCGACGCCCCACCTCCGGAAGCAGACCGAAACACTGCACCGATGGAATACGCCCGCTGGTGCTGGCGCCAGTAGCGGAGGATAGAAGTTGAGCTTCGTTGAGCACCGCTAGATGATCGGGCTACGAAGGATGTGTGAAGCATCGCAATGGTGATCAAGCTACACCCTGCAGCTGTAAGTTTATGTAACATGTATTTTACAGCATGTGCAGCGTGCATATTTGTAGAGCATATGGGTAACTACCTTTTTCAGCATCTACGCGCACGTAGCAAACATTCCTTGATAAACTAAATAACGTTTCTAAATGCCTCATAGTTTCCTTGCTATGGGATCGGATACGGCTAAGCCAAGAGCATTTGTTCTTTGACCGCGGGCAGCGGCGTAGGCACGGGCACAGGAGGCACGTACCCAGTCGCCCCCGGCCAACAGGGCTTGGCACTCAAATTTCAGTCAGAGGGTCTGTTACGCCCATCGGGGCTCCTGAGACGAGAAGGGCCTCAATGTCGTCCAGTCACCACCAGTAACGCACGGTCGGGTCCGTGTTTGTATCGGCCATATGGTCTGCCGCCCAAGCAGGGACAAGGCTGGGTCAGCGATGTACATGTATCGGGCGATTGTGTCTGCCAGGTGCCCACAGTGCCTAACAGGGGGCCCTGTACTGGCAGGGGCTCCGAGTTTACCAGAGGCAGTGTTCGATAAGGCCCGAGGAGATAACTGAGGGCAGCTCAGGATTGACAATCAAGATTCAATTGGTGGATCTAAAGCCCCGAAGAACTGGCCGTAGGTCACATTAAAGACCCCGACCGATACGACCTGGCCTTTAAATGTCATTCAGAGGGACTAATGCATCGAATGGGTGCACCCTAAAACAACGCGGGTCAAAATCAAGGCGTAGCGCTCAAAGATGAAGCTCGGACGTATATTCACCTTAAACATTTTGATAGTTCCTCAGAACAGATCAGCACCTACAGAAACACGCAACTATACATATTTTGTTTACTTATCCAGTTCCGCCGTAGACACATGCTCGGTATCCCTGCTCTAAAGGTTTAAGACATTCACCCAAACTGTTGCACTTTTCTGAAAAACGGACGCGGTTTAGAGATGGGCGTGTTACCTTTATATCCTTACTCACATGCATTGTGCGTGCCACATGGCACGACGCGCTTTTTCCGAAACGTTGATTTCTGCCGGAATTACAGATTGATGAAGATGGGGAACAATCCGGATAGAAATATTTTGTGTTGATAAATATGCAAAAGCAAAATTTTATCCAACGGACTCGCTTGGGCTATGCACGCCAATTCGGTCTTAAAAGAAGCAATGCTCTCAGACACGATCAATTTCGTTGGATAATCTGAGCACACCAGCCCCGGGCAGGCCTACTCATTTGGGGAGTGCCAAAAGCCCTCCCGGGTCGAGCCTGTCGAAGATTGAATGCATACAGTCCAAGTTGCACCCAACTGAACTGGTGTGAAAATGGTTAGGGGATGAACTGGTTGTCCCAGGTCGAGTTGGCAACAACTGCGCAGGGTAGGAGACGTTTTTGGCCGCCAGGACCCTGACTAGATGAATGCAAGTAGAACAGCCATAGCGTTTTCTTAAAGAGGGTATGTTTTGTTTGGGCTTGTTGCCGCACGTAGCAAAAGTCGCATTATCCGATATGTTTGTTAAGTCGAATGGGTCTTAAAAGTTTCAGGCCGGAGGCATGGTGCATTTAATTCCCCGCAGAGATATAATGCCCATATCAATTTTGTATGGCTTGTGTCACTTCTAGGATGCAACGCGCATTTTAGCAAATCTGAGCTCTTTTATTATAGTCATCTTTCGGCTACCACCGCTAACATCTCACTTCGTGCATCATGTAACTTCAATTGGGTCGTCAAAAATCATCGATAACAGTTCTGATAAAAATCACTGCCTGCGCTTCGAACCATCAACACGCGCTCGGGTGGGGCTCAATTTGACCACCCCGCCCGAAGGTTTTTCGGAAAAACAGCAGCCATTTCTTATTTTTCTGGTCACCTTGACCTTTTAAAGAGCAAAAAGTTCATTGACCTTAAATGAACGTCACTGACCTTTTCCTTATAGAGGGTGATAGGTTCACGATAGTTGTGTAAGGAACGTTGGGGCGCTTTGTACACCAATCAGTAGTTTGAACTTGTGTGATTTTATTTGACCAAAGCTCATGACTTAGGAGCCTCAAATTTAAACACAGGTGAGTTTATATGCAGACCAACGCACCCTGTCAACTTGGCGTCTCTCGCTATCTGAGTTTACGAGATCTCGAGGGGGTCAAATTGGCCCCCTCACCCCACCCGAATGAGGTCCTCAACATTCGTATCGACGCGCTAACATAGGTTCTAACTGCATCTATCGGAACGACCTTTTCACTTTTCATGAGGTCTAGCAATCTCACATTTGACCTAAGTTAAAAAATGTGTCGCGCACTCTCATGATTTGACGAGACCTTTACAACGGTAGCTTTGTTTTTTCATACAGCGTTTGGAAGCTTGGGGCCCCAGTCGGGGGAAGTCAGCTTCCCCCCGGCTAGGGTTGTTACACCTTTACATGAAGTTTTGAATAAAAAATCACTTTGAAAATATTCTATGCAGTTCATAATTTTGTCCTTCTCAGGACTTAAACCCCTCTAGTTCCTGCGTCACACGTCCACGAATATGTGCAGACCATTTCGTGTAGACTATATCAAAGTCATTCAGCACCGCGTGCCGCCAAGGGAACGCTATCTAAATCCTGCCGCCCCATTAGCCATGCATAGTTCAAGGCCAACAAGAATATAATCGTTGAGCTGTTCATATCTGACGTTCATGAGCACAATTTCCAGGTAAAGCGATCGTCAATTGGCTCTGATCCAGCGTTGTGCAGGCTGTGCAAGTTAAATCACGAATCAAGTTTTGTATAACATGACGCAAAACGTCAGACTTCCCTTACCACTTTTGCTGAAATAAGATCATACGCGGAATAAGTCACACATATCGTCATAACCAAATATGTGACACCTAGATAAACAATTCAACTGCGAGAGAGTCAGCGAGAGGAGAGAGAGGAGAGAGAGAGAGGAGAGACGAGGAGACGAGAGAGGAGGAGTGGAGAGAGAGAGAGGAGAGAGGAGGGAGAGTACGAAGAGAGAGAGAGAGGAGAGATAGAGAGAGAGAGAGAGAGGAGAGAGAGGGAGAGAGAGAGAGAGAGAAGAGAGGAGAGAGAGGATGTATATATATATATATATATATATATATATATATATATATCTATATATATCTATATATATCTATATATATATATATAATATATATATATTATATTCATATTCATATTAAGAAACCACCACGAGAAAGGAAAAACGTATGCGCACATAACGACATTGGGGTTCTGCCAACAAGGCACCGAAAGCACGACATTTGTAGCGAACTGCTACAAGTGAGTCAGCCCATCCGCTATTACATCACTTTCACAGAGCCAGTTGGGCACCCCCCTCTGGCGTCATGCGAGTGTTTCATGACGCAATCAACCGATGCCGTATTGAGGACTATCTTTACTTAAAAGTGAAATTGTGTTGTCTAGAGTATATTTTGCATTGAAAACGCTACTAAACAACAAGTGAGCTTGTATCATATCTGATGCTTGCCGTAATGTCTTCAAGCGTGGAACATGCCCTTTAAATGCAAGTTGGAGGGGCGACTTCATTCGCACAAGAAGCCTGCACTCTCACAGCGCAAATCATATTGTTCTCCTGCTGCCTTCGAAGAGCGACACACACATATATATATATATATATATATATATATATATATATATATATATATATTCATATTCATATTTAAGAACACCACGAGAAAGGAAAAACGTATGCGCACATAACGACATTGGGGTTCTGCCAACAAGGCACCGAAAGCACGACATTTGTAGCGAACTGCTACAAGTGAGTCAGCCCATCCGCTATTACATCACTTTCACAGAGCCAGTTGGGCACCCCCTCTGGCGTCATGCGAGTGTTTCATGACGCAATCAACCGATGCCGTATTGAGGACTATCTTTACTTAAAAGTGAAATTGTGTTGTCTAGAGTATATTTTGCATTGAAAACGCTACTAAACAACAAGTGAGCTTATATCATATCTGATGCTTGCCGTAATGTCTTCAAGCGTGGAACATGCCCTTTAAATGCAAGTTGGAGGGGCGACTTCATTCGCACAAGAAGCCTGCACTCTCACAGCGCAAATCATATTGTTCTCCTGCTGCCTTCGAAGAGCGACACATAGCATCGCACCTGTGTTAGCTGTGTAAGGACTAAATACAGTTCTGAAAAACCCGAGAAACTCGCATGCCTATCTAGTGTGAGGCATGATACTGATCCCAAGGGAACGTTTACATAATATCGAAAACGCTCACGCCTTGTATTGTCTCACTCTTCTCAAACCACAAAAAGACGTTTCTGATTGGATCTATGCATTTTGGTAGATAGAAAACGATCGCCAGCCCTTACAGTTTGGCGAACTGAACAGATGCACGTGTGGGTACTACGCGTGACCTTCACCTCACTGTTTACCGGGGGTTTGCACACGTTACAGAACATGAAATGCGGCTGAGATGTTGAGGATGGCAAACATAGATGCAGTTGACGCACGCGCGCCGCTTCGGGGATTCATGAAAAATGCTACGAGCCAGATGCTTCAGAACGATATATTTGTGCGATAATGCAGACGCATAGCAGCATTCAGCGCAATGTAACACCGCTTCGCCACTCCTTTCGCAATATCGCACTTCAACATCACAACGGCCACACATTCCCCTAGGACGCAGTTCAATCAACGCACGCCATGCAACGCATCATGTCAGCAAGCTGAACACTCAAATACAAATCAAATATTAAGACCGCAATGCTCCGGCGAATACCTCACGCGATCGGATGTCTTGCGACGGGGTACGCGCGCCGGTGGGCGGCGGCTGCGGCCGGTCACTAACGCGAGACCTCCCTTCGGATCCAGTCGACGTAGTTAGCGATGCGCGTGTACAGGCCGGGGAGGGTGGCGCCGCCACAGCCAAATCCCTCCAGCACCAGGCCGGCCAACTGGTAGCGTCCGTCGGGCCCCAGCACCGAGAGCGGCCCGCCCGAGTCGCCGCGGCACGCGTCCATGCCCTGACCGGAGTAGTCCGCCGCGCACAGCACGCCGCCGCCGAAGCCGCCCGGGAACCGCAAGCTGTACTGCGGCGTCTGGCGGTACGTCGCCTCGCATTCCTCGACGGGCACCACCGTCACGAATGCTTCCTGCAGCACGCTAGTTCTTGCCTCCCGGTAGTTCACCTCACCCCAGCCGACCGCCCAGCCGTCACGGCTGGCCAGCGTCGCCGTCGGCTCCGGCAGGCAGACGGGCGCCACGGTGTCGCCCAGCTCCGCCGGGCTATCCAGCTCCAGCAGCGCCAGGTCGTTGCGGCTGCGCATGTAGTCTGGGTGGCGCACTGCACGGCGCACGCCGCGGTCCTGGTGCTCGGCGTCTTCGGCCGCGTCCAGGTCATGCTCCCCGAGCCTCACCAGTAGTTGGTCGGGCGAGTCCGCCAGACAGTGGGCGCTCGTTAGCACGTGACGCGCGCCGATCAGCGCTCCACCGCATAGCCAGTGCACGCTACCGTTGGACTGTTTCTGGCCCAGCACGGCCGCCCACGGCCAGGCACCGCGCCCGACCGGCCGCCCGTTGGCGATTTTGGTGAAGATGCTGCTGGCGCCGCCGTTGCCGCAGTCCGCTGGCAACGGCGACCGGCTCGACTTTGAAGCTAGCACCGGCTGCTCCACCGTCGTCTCGCAGCAGCACTTGAATTGCTGTACGTGCAGGTCGTAGCCGCAGACAGCACCCTTCCTGGGCGCGCACAGTTTGGCGGGGCAGTCCTGCGGCAGCACGCAGACGCCGGGCCGGCCGCTGGGCGCCTTGCACGTGGCGACGCCGCCCGACAACGCGGGCGAGGCGTCTGGGAACACGATCGCGCCGCCCCAAAAATCGCGGGCGGCTCCGCCCGACGTCGTCAGAGAACAGAGCACGGACAATAGCAGCAGCATAGCTCGGCTCTGGACGCGACCAGCGACACGACTGACTGTGCCACCACCCGCCGTCGGCTTTTGCAGGCCACAAGGGACAGCAGCCAAAATGTCGGGGAATTACTATCGTTCACCTTACGTCCACAGCCGCAATCCTCAGCGGTATGTTTCAGTTCTCCGCAGTACTCTGGAAACCGGTTCGGTGGCATGTCATAACTAATCCACCACCAGTCGCGGGCAGACAACCCATGCGCTTTCTAGCCGGGACAGCGCATGTTTCCGAGGATGACAGAGCATGAGACTGTTAGCGTGAATCTCATGGGCAAACGCAGTTTTTTTTTGCTACTGATCGGCATATATGTGGTTTAAATGCACTGCTGCAAAATGGATCAACACATTAAAAGTTAGGCCTCGGCAACTTTTTTTCATTTAGCTGGATTGTCTCGCAGTAAGGCTTGATAACTTGTGGCTTGGGGCGGGCCCAAGTGGACTGGCCTTTCCCGCGGCCTATCATAAACACGTCGTGTTCATACCACTGTCGACGAGACATTGCCATTGTGATCCGTGCGTTACATCCGCAATCTCTCAGGTAAAGGGGCCTGCTAAAGGGAGGCGTCTTTGGAAGTCAGCGTTGTGAACAGTGTGATGCGTGTGGGGTTACGTGACTGGCCTGTTACGCTTATAGGGTGGAGACAGTGCAACTTGCGATGAGCGAAGGGCATTAGTATGGCACAAGTACACGGGGTGTAATACGCGCCCGGGTGGCCAGTTGGATACCCTTCGCTCGAGTAAGGGTCAATTTGACACCCCCCGAGATCTCAAGTTCTAAGAGAGCTAGATACATCACATTTACAGGGTGTGTTGATGTGTGCGTGAACTAACTGAAATCAAAGTTTCAGGTTTCTGGGCTGTGATATTTGGGTTAAATGAGGTCAGACAAGGTCAAACTCCAGGTTGATCCCCAAATTGCTCCCATAACCTAGACACCTGTTCCAAGGAAAAGGTCACATCCTCATTTAGGGTCGCTGACCCTTTTTGACCTTTTGAAGGTCATGGTGACCAAAATCAAACGACTGTTTTGAGTTTTGCATTTGAATAAGCTACAAAGATGTCGCCGGGCAGCATGCTCCCAAAAACAAAATGTCGACCTGGATCAGTTGTGGTCGGTGACCTATTCTGACCTATAAGAGGTCCATAGAAAATGTATATTTTGTGATGCATTCGCTGTGATTGCCGGCAAAGCCGATTGTTAGCGGAGCTAATACACGGCGCACGATTTCTTACAATCATCATCCCTTTGTTGTCGCCCGGCATCCCCTCGCTTGCATTACTATTAGAGAACAGCAGTCTCGCTGCCTATGGGCGGTGCCACATTTCGTAGGCGCGTATGTTACGTCCCAAGATTACCTACAGACATGTAGAAAAGTGATGAGGCGCGGACATGCACAAAGGGACATATTACACAGAGCTGCAGCTGTGCACATATGCACAGACGCCGTACATCTGGTCATGGGTATGTCTGTATACTTATTTTTCGTCTGGTCAACAGGCAGTGCCAGTGACGCAGTGGCGGTTCGGGGGCGCCGGTTTATCCAGTGGCGGAACCCGACCGCTCTTGAAATGATTCCCACTTTTTCCATCTCGCCCAACCACAAAGCAGTAAACTTTCCCAGCTTATCACTGTTATTGGCTTAGCACCGCTCCGTGCAAAGGTAGCTCGGTAGGACTCTGACAAAGCCTTTCATGTTTGGAGAACAAGATTCCCTCACGCCGTACCACCTGCATTATTTGTAAACCGATATGCAGAGTGATATGACTTTCGGTGAAATGTTTCCTTGCTCTGACATATTCCGATAAACATCATTCTTAGACTCAAAGTTCAGGCCACAATGTTTCCTCATTGGTCCTATGCATTCTGGAGAGCCAGCAGCACCAAGTGGCCTTATCTTGATGCATAATAATTGAGAATTTCTGCAGTATTGCCACTAATAATTTGAGAACCGTTTTTGGAAGATCCCCCCAGCCTTAAAAGTACTGAATCAGCGTGGCGAGAGAACGGTTTTGTAACACTGCTGTCCGAATCGGGCCAACGTGCTTATTAAAGCGCCAGCAAACTTGCACCACATGGCGAGCATTGGTGACAGCCGGACCTGCGCCGTCTGAAGCTGATCGGAGCGGGCATGTTCTCGGCTGTTAAAGCGCCAGCAAACTTGCACCACATGGCGAGCATTAGTGACAGGCGGACCTGCGCCGTCTGAAGCTGATCGGAGCGGGCATGTTCTCGGCTGTTATATCGGCTGCCGTGTACGGCTCAATTGCATATATGTGAATTGCTATAGAGTGAAGGCCATAATAAAATTATCAGTAGCGCCCACAAACAGCTTAAGTGATGATCTAGAGGCTCCAGCGTAACTATCAGTTGCATTATACATATTGGAGCGTGACGAGTGGTAAGTGACGACCAGCCCGTCCATAAGCATCTCATCGCTAATGTGTCCATACTTCGGCAACAAAGCAGCAGGGCATTTCGCAAACCAGCTCCCACAAGTTGGCAACAACTAGAACCAGAGCTCAGACAGCCAAGTCAAGTCTTCCATCTGCGCAAACTTAGAAACAGTCATAGTGGTCCCTCCTCCTCCCCTCCCTTTCGTAGTCTTCCCGACTACGAAAACAATGTCACCAAGACAAAATCCGGCTCAGTATGCAGGTTGCCCAGGCGCCGAAACGCATCGCCGCCCATAATGTAAACTCGAAGCCTTTGGAGAACCAGCGTGATGAGATAATGGCTTACAAGTCGATGTACACCGCCCCAAACAGCAGCCTGGAACCATCAACTCATATCTGAACAACTTAGTATTTGAGCAAGGCGCACTCCTCACACACACACAACAATTTGATTCCCAAGCTCTGCAATGGCGGCCACGAGGCCAAGCGAAACGAAGCTAGCGGACGTTTTCACAGAAGGACCCCATCCATCCTATCTGCGATTCCCTCCACATTCATACAGATAGTTTCCCGTCACGCAGAGCTATATCGTGACTTTGAAATATAGCCAAGGCCGGTCGGTATCAAGTCTAAGCCCGACTGAGCCAGTGCTCTCACGGGTTCAGCTTTTCGCTGGCAGCTCCAGAGCAAGCAGCCGATAGTAGCCGGCGCCTAATGAGCAGCCTGTTAATATACTCGAGGGAGGATAAGACCAAGCATTGCACAGAAATTCATTGCAGCCGTAAGATGACCTGACACGTAGCTTCTGCAGGATTGCAACGGGCGCCGGTATCCAGCTTGCAATTTCCCACTGGCATGTTGCGTCGCGTACGGCCTCGGTGACTGGGCATTCGACCCGTCCTTTGCCAGGGAAGCCCGAGCCGGACAGTGGAACGGAATGCTGCACCTCGGACCGCCACATGACGTCACAGCTACTGGTCAGCTGGTCACAGCTGCTGATCAGCTGGTCAAAGCTGCTGGTCAGCTGATCACAGCTGCTGGTAAGCTGGTCAAACAAGGGTTCAGCACGGCGGAGCGACCTGTTTTGTGTTAAACATTGTTGCTGGGTTTTCTGAGATTGGCATGTAACCTTGGAGACCTCAACCTCATGGTTTCGTTCAAGCTGAACGCCTGGTCATGTAATTTATTTTAGATCGTACTCATTGTTGTTCTCCAGGAAATGGTTTGCGGCCGGCATCTCCGTTGGAACCCGTTTCACCTTTGTATTTCAAGTGAAAATATGAACACTAACGAGACAAATCGCATGGAGCTTTGAATTGTAAATCCAAATACAACTGTCTCCAAAAACCATCTTGCAGTATACCGCGGGGCTTTTTTCGCCGAACACTTTTGCCAGCATGGCGTGTGTTCAGGAGTCGCATGTGACAAAAGACATTTGTTCTGGTGTCGCTAAGATCATTTCAGGTGTGGAGTGTCCTCAGCAACTCCTGGAAAAAATCTGCATTCGTTCTCCTATGCCAGACCATGCAGGTGAGAACGACGCCTAGCAGAAAACGTCCTGTGCAGCGGTGACAAAAGTGCCTTTCCTGTCACCAACGAAATTTGGAACCGTTTTAATTATCACCTAGAGCTAAATCTTTCTGAAACCGTTGCAAGATAACTCTAAATGCATTAAACCACAAGAGAATGACAAGTTTAATGCAATACGGCATAACCATCAAACATTTTTGTTTCGGGAGTTCCTTTGCACTTAGGTATCATTTATTTGCCATCAAGCACGGAAAGATAGTTAAGACCTAACTGATAAAATTAGTAAATAAAGACATACTTGACATATCCAACTTGGAGGCGTGTAGTTTCCTGTTCAGATAGGAGGAGCAGATTGTACCTCCTTACCATAGACCACCGATGTAGCTTCCTGTTTCCATTGATCCTTTTTTTGTTTCTCCATTGTTTGTTTGCATTGCATTGTCTCCATTGCATTGTCTCCATCCATTGTTTCTCATGAATCATAATTTTTATGGTTCAGCCCCCAAGCTAAGTTCGGGGAAACTACACCCCTGCTGCCACCTGTGAAGAGAAAGCGCGTCAAATATGTGGAGAAAACTGCTTTGAGTGCGTTTTGGAGGCAGGCTCAGTCATTCTTTTCTCGCTCCCAGTCTCCATCCCTTGATTGACCCTAAGTATTTTGAAAAGCTGGGTCCCTGTAGCTCTATATTTACCGACAACATGGTTCCGCAAGCACGTGACAACAATATCATCTTTGGTTTTGTGACGTCACCGTACAATCAGCTGAGTGCGCATGCGACCTTCACTATTTTCGCATAACCATTACCGGTGTAGAACAAACGCTTCCTAATATAATACCAATCATTTAGCACAAATCCATGCAATATTGGTATCAACAA